AATCCTCATCCCCTTTAAAACTTTGGCCTATTAAAGCACTTGACTCCCAGCTGCACCTCCTCACTTGGATCCACATGCAAGTCTATTCATGCTGGGATGCTGCCAAAGGTTTGTGAATGCACACATGCAGACACGTGCTTGTGTGGAAGATATCAAGATCCATCTGTAAGACACACTCATAGCATGTGGGGTGTCGGGCAATCTGTGCTGCTGCCTGAGCACTAATCTTTTAAGAGTTTAGAAGACTTCCGATCTGCATCTCAGTCATCTGTCAGGCTCTTAAATATTTTTTTTTTTTAAAGTGATATCAAATACTTGCTAAGCCTCCACAGACACACTTTTACTGAACTATTAATCATTGCGTTTTGTTTTCTCCAGCCTTTTAAAAACCCAAGGTAAAGAGGCATGAACCTGGAGACGTGTCTGCTTATATTCTCATCCCACTCTTTGCTAATACCATCTATTTATTGTGCTTTTCATCCTCAGAAACACTACAGCACCTGATTCAGTCTGAATACAGTGACTTCTAATTTTCTCCTGTCTCTCTATCTCACTGCACGGTTTGGGGATCACAGCTTGTGGAGCTTACTGCCCTGGATGTCACTTGAACCAAACGAACACACATTTGGCTGTCAGTGGAACAATCCATGAGAGATATTTTTAGACCTTGAGCACACAGCTCCTAACACAAAGTGCCCTTTTACAATTCAGCATGTTTTCTCCCCCCCTTTTTAAATGACTTGCAGAGTGAAGTTAGTACATGTTTAGTGTATCATTTTGCACTGATAACAGACTGACCAACTACAAACATTATCTATTCACTTGGAGAGGGACAGAAAATGTGCTGCTGTCAGGTTTCAGACAGAGTGAGAAGCAGCGCGTCATATTACAAGCCAAAAAGCTCCCAAAATGAAATACCACAAGGATTTGATATGCAAGAAGGCAATCAGTTATATCATTGCAGCATCTTTATGTTATTAAAATATGTAAATTGCTTCAGTAATAGAGTATCCTAGAGCCAAATACACATACATAAATCCATGTGATTGTGTGGATGACAGAGTGTATTTCCAGGGGTATTAATGGATGCCAAGCATGCTGATATAAAACAGGACTACAGCGGTGTTGGAGGATCTTGGCAACAAGTTTCACTGATGATTAAGATGCATCTTTCTGCCAGCAGTAAAAGTAGACATTTTTTCTCCAAGCAGCACACTGGGTAAATGTCAGCTATGGGTAAAACAGGATGTAATGTCAAACAATTTAACCTAAGGCTGCTTCTCCTGCGCAGAACAAATTACCTTTGTCACATACGATGAAGCAGTTTGATTGAAAAAAACAGTATGAACTCAAGAGTTCCATGAATTTAAAATGTTAAATTAAAATAAGTTCAGCTAAAATATTTTCAGGTCTTCTTTTTTTTTTAGCATGTTGGCACTTGTAGCAGAGATTTTAAGAGCTAAATGGTACTAGCTTAAAGTTACAGTAAGCTATGCTAATGCAATTTATTTGTAAGAGTTGAAACAAGGAGTTTTACCTCCATGCATGTTCTGCCTGTCACTGCCAAATTCGTTTTAATATATAGTTTTTATTTATTTTTAATATCGTGGGGGAAGCACGTTTAAAAATGAAATGTTTAGCTTTAACATAAGATAAAATAACCTAACAAGGCTGTTAGCTTAGTGTAGGACCAAGCTAGGTGTTTTACTTCTGTGAATGGCTACAGACAGGTTTTTATGTGTGCAGGTAGGTCCACAAGCTGTTGGAAACAGACACATTTTTGTATTTTTTTTGCCTATACACCAACATGGTAGATTCAAACACTCAATATGTGACTGAAGTGTAGGCTTTGCAGACTTTTAATAAAGACTAAAAATTAATTGGACAATTGAGTGACGAGTAGTTGAGGTAAGGCCTGTTCGGGGTGAAGCGGACATAATGTCTGAAGTTGGTTTAAAGTGTTGAATTTGTATTTGATAGCTTATCACTGTATTTCAATATGATGCCAAAAGCACAAGACATAATAAGGATGAAAAATCAAAATAAACCTATTAGAGAGAGAAACTAGGAAAAACTTTATGGACGCAGCCGAATCAACAATCTGAATTATTCTTAAAAACAAGGACCTGGTAGCTCAGCAACACCAAAAGACCTGAAAGACCACAGAAGACAACTGAAGTGGCAAATTATTTCCATTATAAAAAAAAAAACATTTTCACAACATCTAACCAAGTCAAGAACATCCTCACACAGGAAGAGGTATCACTGTCACATAGTCTATAATAAAGAGACACCTTCATAAACAGATATATGCAGAGATTACAACAAGGTGCAAACCCCTGGTTACACTCAAGAACAGGAAGAGCAGATTAGACTCTGCCAGAAAACATCTGAAGGAAAATCTGCAAAAAAAAAAAAAAAAACGAAGAAGAAGAAGAAGACAAAAAAGTGGATGGTGAAACCAAGATGAACTTACAGCTGAATGATGGGAGAAGTATTGCGAAAGAGAGAAACACCTCATGATCCAAAGCAACATTATCTGTCAAACACGGCGGAGGAAGCGTAATGGCATGGGCATGTATGACTGGACACTGACAGACAATGATTTCACCGCTATATTTCCAACCCTGGTGATTCTGTCTGTTTAAAATTACACTAACAATAATTTCTCAGTCAGGGGGCTGCGTCTGTGACAGAGTATTTTGGGTTATTTTGTATTAGTTCATCTTAGTTGAAGTTTAGTCTAGTTTATGTTATCGTCCATGTCTCCTTGTTTATGAGTCTTTTTCTGTTTGTCATATGTTATCTCCTTGTCTAGGTAGGTTCCCCTTGCGTCTCTCTCCTCTTCGTCCCTCTCCCTCTCTCACTCCGACTCTCTGTCTCTTGTATCAGGCTTGTGTCCCAGTTCACGTCTCTCCATGTTTCCTGTTTTACTTTGAAAGTCTGTGTTTCCATGTTCGGTGTGTTTAGTTTTGCTTCCCCTGTGGCATCAGGTTCATTGTGTCAGCTGTGTTTCCCCAGGTGTTTCCACTTCCCTCATTACCCTTCTGTGTCCTCTATCCCCCTCTGTTGGGTCGTCTCTTTGTCTCGCGTCATGTACTTCAGGTCTCAGGATTATTTTCATACTTCGGTTTAGGTTCATGTTTCTTGTCACAGTTTTCGGATGTACCTGTTCTGATTCATGTTCATGTACCATGGCATAGTTTTCATGTTAGTTTTAGTTCATCCCAGTTTAGGTTTTAGTTTAGTTTTTCCCCAGCTCACCTTGCCTTGTTTTCTGTTTAATATCACCCTTAATAAACGGCTTGCTTTTTTTTAAACTTCGTTTTTCTCTCACATGTCTGCTTTTGGGTCCAGACCTCAAACACATCGGCCATCCCGGCCGTAACTTTCCCTCCAATAGTTTCTGTCTATATAGATGCCTATAACCTCAACAATTCAGTGACTTGCACTCACTGACCTCTCACCAGCTTGTTTCAATAACTTCCTAATGTTTCCAGTTATTCCAAAACCAAATAAATGCACTAAATCGTTCATTTTGGGGTCAAAAGGTTCCTTGGATAAAAATCCAGTCAGGGATCACGGATTTCATTGGTGTAGGAAAAGGACTGAGGACATTCCATGTATTTCTATTTATGCCAAGTCTTTATATTTCCCAGATGTGATGCATGGATGGTGTTTATATTATAGACAAATTAATTTTGTGTGTTGAATATCTTAATACAAGCTGTATTATATCATTGTGCAGAAAAAGCAAAAGGCTGTGTTATTCACATGTATGTGTTCTGATCAAATGCACAAGCTTGGTCTGTTTTTTGCATATTTATTGGCAAAAACTACTTAAAGGCCTTGTGTCACACTCTAACTGAAAACATCCACCTTTGCTGTGTTCACTATTATCTATTCTAAGCATGAGTCATTGGAGAGCTCAATCTACTTTATGTATGGATGACCACTGGGGATATTGACTGTCCCTGAAATTGTGTGTTATCAGTAAATACAGCCCCATTCCGTCCTTTCCAAAAAGCTAATAGCCTTTTTTTTTAAATTGAATTGGCACCGCCTGCTCCTTCATTTGACAACCCTGTTCGTGCAATGAAAAACATCAAGAAACTGCACCAAGAAACGAAAAAAGAAATCTGTGATAAATATGTTGGCAGTTTTTTCAGTGCTACCATAGAGGACAAGGTCTCAGGCAACAACCCCACCTGTGTGCTTAGTAGTACTGAAACTACTTTTGGCCTTTTAATTATGCAGTAACTAGCATAAGAGCAGCATTGGAGGGAGAGATAGCATGCAATCAGAGGGACTTTTATCTGTAAGTATCTGGTTGGAGACTTTGTGGTCTCCCTATTCTGGCTCTACACTAATGCACAGTGAGCAGGTGAGAGGCCCTGTAATTACATATTAACTTTGGCTTGGTCAGTTAAGACTGAAAGCAGTTCCTATTGGTGGTCTTTCGGTAGTACGTGTGTGTGTTCATACACGTGAGTATATACTATGACTAGAAACCCATCCAAGCATATTAACACACACTGGAGGAACGGATGTGGGGGTGGAGGGTAACCATCATGGCTTTGGTGCAAGGCCTAGTTGTGCATGAGAAGGATAGATGGAGGGGTTACTTAGACGTAGATGTACTCACACTCCAAGTGTTTCTTCTTCGGGGCTGTCTGTTCGTGCGTGGTGGCTTTGCACACCGCTCGGCACACCTCGGATCCCGTCAGGCTGTACTGAGCCGCGGCGATGCGGTCCGTCAGCGTCTGCCCCGACATCTTCTCTCCGCGGAGTCCAACCAGCAAGCCTCCAATATGGTCCTACCCCCCCTACTCACACACACACACGCACGCCGGAATGAGCGAGCAGCCTCAGTAATCCCAGCCGCCCTCGAGAACACCACACAGACACAGGCTCCAGGAAAAGAAATATTAGGGCACTTTCTAAAGAGCCGCAATTGATTTGAGTTGCATAACAAGCGGAGAGCTGGTATTCCCACTCAGATCTGCTGGATCTGCATGCGTTTCTGGAACAACATGAACTGACTTTATTCCCTGAATTCCAGTATCCGGTGATAACTACAGTCTATATGCAAAAAAAGGGGGGAAAGGGGGAAAAAGGAGAGGGCAAAAAAGTAAAACGCTAATCCAGGTTTTAATTCAGTGTTTTCCCCTCCGTTTTTTAATGAATTTCTTACTGTTCCGCGTTATGGTCGGACAGCCTCACTCACAATGCCGTCCTCCCTGGATGATGCTTGTCTCTTGCCTCCCCTCCTCCCTGTCTTCCTTCCGCTTGTCTCCTGGATAATCCTTACCACCACCACCAGTCTGACAGTCCCTGAGTATCAGCGGGGCGTGCAGGGGAACATCATCATCATCTTCATCCCACACCATCCAGTGCAGCGTTTTTTCTCTGTTTGTTTGTTTTTCTCTCTCTCTCCTTCTCCTTCTGCAGCCCTACGCTTCCTCTGCGCCTTCCTCACCGTCAGCTCCGGGGATGCGCGCTTCAAACCGGGTCGTTGGATGGCGGTGCTTTCGGTGGACTTACATCCTTCCGTTTATTTAATTATTATTTTATTTATATTTCTCAACACGCCCTGCCCCCTCCTTGGAGTCAGGTGACGCAGTGTTACCAACCCCACTGCAGCCTCTTTTATCGCGAGAGCTCAAGGGAGAAGCGAGAGAGGTGGGGAGGTGGGCGACTGGGCTTGCTGCGTGAGGATGTGAAGGGTTAATACAGCTACTCTACAGGGTTTTGGTGCCTGTCATGCTGCTTCCGTACTACGAAGGTCATAAGAAGCGTGCAGCTTCAGGGAGCACGATTTTATATAACCACGCGCAGCCAATCAGGGGATTCGGCCCTGTCCATGGTGCTGAAGTCTTCTGGCGTCGTGCTCTCAATCACATTTTCTGATCAGCATTATGCAGTTCTATCAGTCGTTTTTCATAAAAAATGTACATTAAAATGTGTTAATGTACATTGGAAAGACCTACATATAAAACACAATACTTTTTCATGGCACTTAGAAATGTATTTTAAATATATTTATTTTTAATAGGGTATAATAACAGCTGTGACCTTCTCTCTCCCATCCGACAGCGCTCATCTCTCAATTATCAAATCAGACTACTCTGGAGAAAATATGAAGTCTCCTGTATCCCACAGACTGACTGTTGACCTATAAACCCCAGCCAGGTTGAGGACCATGTATATCCATGTAAATGCATTTTATCTAGCTCCTTGTCTTTATTATGTTTCGTGCAGACAATTTTGCCTGATGTATAGTTGAGGATGAAGACCACTATATTTCACTATTTATGATGTGATTGTCTTTCTTGAAGGGATATGAATAGCAGTTTCCTCATTTGGTTCAGAGTCATCCGATTCTGAATTGACCTCAAGATGGACTTTATCTTCAAACACCCCCCTAATCTATGATCTACGTTGAAATCCAGAGCTGTCAGCTGTTTACTTCTGCTGCCCATCTTGTAAAACTCTAACAGGCCACTATATCATACATAGCTGCTCAGGATACTGTTGTTAGGACTCCCTTGCAGACAATGTTTATATGTTTTGCTCCTCTCTCTTGCTGAGTGTATACTCAATGTAGGTGGAGTTGACCAACAGGAACTTAAAAGGGTACCATCTAAAGTCCATACTGATACGGTCATCTCAGAGACAAACTGACCTCTTGACTGCCTTTGTGGTGTTGCTGCTTTGCATCTTTAATGGAATTATCTGACAAGAATGGCTTTCTGTGCAGTAGAGAAGTCTTTGCTTCAGTTTTGGTTTTAGGCATTTTCTAGTATTTTATTACCCCGGTACTTAGCACTAAACCACAGGTAGGTGTGTCTGTGTATTGCGCTCACACATTTTTCTATGTTCTCTAGCATCAGCTGATAACTTAGTACTCGACCCTTTTTGAGAAACTGTTGTCATGGCTGGCTCCAGAAAAACAAGATGCCGATGACGACAAAGCTAATGTGGAAACCAACGGGCAATGCGGTAGTGGCTGTCTATCTTTTATACACAGTCTACACCTGCTCAGATGAGAATGGAGAAGAGACTGAAGAGACTTAGACTGAATGGCAGGGGCGTAGTGTAAGTTCTTTCTTAATATTTAGAAAGAGAAAAACATAGCTGATGTAAACTTCTCATTAGAAATCTTTATTAAGTCACATCGATATGGAATGGCACAGCATTTTCACTTTATCCTAAAGGACTCACATGAAATGTTGAAAGTCATCAAAGCTGCTCCATATATACAAATAATTAAAATCAATAAAGTAGCTTTTAAAAGTAAAATCATTATAAATACAAAAAAAAAGAATGTACAAACTCCTCCCCAAGTTTATAGTCCCATATAGTTTTTTTAATGTACAGGTTGAGGTTCACTAGTGTTGATCAGTTGTGTGTTAGTTCCCTCTCCCTCTGCTTGTTTTGACCTCACGTCTTGATGAGCCCCTCTAGAAAGTCTTTTTCAACCATCTCCTCGATGTTTTGTCGAGCTCGACTCCAGAACACTTTCTGGCTCTCCAGTTTGTGGCCCTCCTTGTGGCTGGGGAAAGAGGCATCTGTGCGGTTGTGAGCGTAGGCGGGGCCTGAGCGGCTGCTGGCCTTGCTGCTGAACACCTGGCTGAGCAAGTTGAAGAAGGGCAGCAGCTGCTCCATACTGCGGATCACGTAGAGGGTCAGCATTAGGTGACCTGGCTCCCAGGACAGGGTTTGGGTGGAGCAGTCCTCCTCTGGGTTTTTCTATGAGGAGGAGGCAAATAATTTACTAAAGCTGAAAATTCACCTGCCAACCCGCAAAAACTACGATTTGCAAAACAGGCTCTTTTAAAAAGCACTTTCCTCTTTGTAAAAGGCACTCATTTATCTTCATTATTTAATAACCTGTGCAGACAAGAGAAGATGAGATACCTTGGCTCGTTTCCTCAGCAGCTTCACTAGTCGGACAATGTAGGGCTTAAACTCTCTCTGGTGAGTCCCCTGACGTCTCACTTCCAACCCCGAATCGTCTGAAGCCTCTGGGATGAAGGCCCAGCGATACCTGTAATGAGGCGTGACATACTCAGAATGACTCAGAACAGCTTTAAAGGAGTGAAATTCACATAACCAATTATCACAATGTACCCTTCCACATCTCAAATACTGACAGACAGGCACACACTTCTACCTAAACAAATTATGTCTGTTATTGATTCCCTGACGATGACATGCAAGCGAGTGTCTGTACTGACATCTGAAACTGAGGCAGGCTCTCGGGAGGCAGCGCCAAGGCCAGATCCAGAAGCTTGCAGGCAGAGAGATAGAGGTTGAGCCAGCGTTGACTGTTGTAGGAGGTGGAGAAGCCGTTCCCTCCAGAATAGGTGGTCTCTAGCCCAGCCACAGATGGCCCGGATGTCCTACAGGTGAACAGGGTTTTGTTTAAAAAACAAACAAACAGGAAGACAGGAGTGAGTTGTCTGTGATGTACATTTACCACCACAGACCAGTTTGTTATAACAATACTTTGTATACCTTGATATGTCCTCATCTGCTGTCAGCTCCTGCTCCATCAGTAGAAACACCTGAACCTGCAACATACAAATGTGTGAGTGTGTCAGTTTGAGTAAAACACAGGCACAGCTGCAGCAGGGGTCAGATTTTATGTAGCCTGTATTGCTAACCAGCTCAGTGATCATGGTGGGCCACAGAGAGGTGAGGTGCTGAGGTGACATGCGCAGCAGCAGCACTCTGAAGAACAGGAACACCTGAGCATGAAGGATGGGCACCTGAGGCAGACGCAAGCTCTCCACGAGACGCTCTGTGGACACACACGTTAGAAGAAAAAATACTTAATAACTTCAGCTGGGCTTTCAGGCGACGGATAATATTAAGGAACTTCAGAGTGGTGTTTTCTGTGTGAGGTTACCTTGTATGTCAGGCAGATATTTCTGATACTGGTCCACTTCGCTGCTGTAGATGGTGAAGGCCAGACGTTTAAGCAACATGGCCCTCTGCTCCAGCTCAGCATCTCTGTTGGTGAACAGACTCAGGGAACTGCTCTGGGCTACAGCCACCCGAGCTAACAGGAACACACACACACACACAAATGTGACGTGTTATTACTTCACCTGCCATAGTCTTTTAGCTTTTAATATCTGTAACATATTAGAATGTTTTGAGCCGTCAGTAAGTGGAGGGAGTGGTCTGATAAATGATCTGTGACTGCACCCAGTGATACATCTCCAAATTCTAATAGGGAAACTAGCTTACTCATGAGGTCTCTGAATGTGGTCTTGTCATGAGTCATCAAGTGGTCAATGATCGCTCTCCAGCTGCAAAAATGAGGAAAATTATGGAATAATTTCTACAAGCACAGCTCTGTTATATTTGGCAACAGATTATCTTCATGCAAAACTAAAACATAGTGAAGCTTTTACTTTAAAATCTCTCTCTTATGTATGTATGTATGTGTCTTTGTTTATAATTCTATCCCCCTTCAATTGTGATCTCTTAAGTGCATTTCTCTCTTGTAATAACTTGCATTACAGCTGTACAAGTCTTCACCCACACACAGTTAGTTTCCTCTCCTTCCTACTCACTGGCTGACGCAGGAGGAGTCCATCTGGAAGAAGGTGTGGTCCATGAAGAGGTCGAAGGCCTCCTTCTTCCAGGCACGCCGGGTGTACTGATACCCACTTAGACTGCTCAACAGTTGGATACAAGCCCGGTAGCTGGGGGCGTTGTGAGCGCTGACAGAGAAAAATTAGGAATGACCAGGATGTGAAGCATCCATGCAGACATTCAATGCGTTTTATTATTGATTATCAGTACTAATTTTTTTTTTTTTAAAAAAGAAGAAAATACATAGTGTTATTTCTCAATGAGGACAAAAGCAGAACACAATACAAAGAAGCTCATCCACACCTGTGGTTGCGGAGGTAGGGAACTACGTAGTGCATGATATTAACCAGCAGCGGAATCACCTTCTCCTTCTCATCACTGTAGAACACCATGTCCAACAGATGAGCCAGCACCTGGCGGATACATTCATTGTGTTGTTTACATCAAAATCTTAGTAAATGGGACAAAACCAAGCAACATTTTTGAAAAGTAGAGAGCAGATAGTTACGGCCACTGAGCCTCAACACCTGCTTCTTGTGTTGTTTGGTTGCAGATAAAAGAAATAACAGGCATGTTCTGATGAGTACAGAAGTTAAAGTTAATTATGATAATGCTTTAAAATGACTGCTCAATTAACTGCTGACTGATGCTTCCAAAAGAAGTTGTAAAAACCACATTACACCAAAGAGACTTAAATTGAAGCGTCCTTGAAGTTGGCTGCCTTGAACACCATCTAACCACTGCATTGTGCGTTTTTTATGCTGGCATAGTTTCCAGTGCTTGCACACCTTAATATTTTTCTTGAAACAGTAAGTTTCTCATTCATTACTTTGTGCATATTAAGGTTTTGGACACAGTAGCATGCTAAACAGCGCTCTTTTCTCATACAGTTTCCCACTCTTTGGTTGCTTTATTTACAAACCACATCACACATCAAAAATGTTACCGATATGATACATATTTGACTGCATACTTAA